AATGAACATTAGTTGTCTATCGAGAACATAAGTTACTACAATCGGGAGTGTGACTCCAAACTTATGTCTATGATAGAGTGTAATATTAGACCGAAAATGACATGAAAAAATTGGAACGAACTCACTTGAATCAGGAAAATTGTACGTCATTGATTAATAAAAATAATCCAGTGAGTTTCGAATATGATAACGTGCAATGTCCATATCATTATAATTTGTTCGATTAGTGATTCGACTGCGTGAATGTCATAGTTTAATGTGAATACGAGCAAAAATAAGAATTCCACGTTAGATGACGATATGACATTATTGTAATAATGAGCATATGATGATTATTAGAATCAACGAAATATGTCGTCCGCGGTTTCATTTTTGATTTGTGTTCACTCGTTGCGGTTGCCGATTCTGTCGCGTGTTCCAAATACGGCGTGCCAATTATGTTGTGAGTTCGTACGTCGAGGTTGTCGATTCTAGTCGATGTTCGTTCGGCGAGACATCCAATTATGTTTTCGCGTTCGTAAGTCGGGATCGCTAATTGTGTTGCGTGTTCGTACGTCGGGATTACCAGTTTTGTAGTGCCGTGCTTCGATCATAGTTCGCTTCGATAACCGTTATTAATATCAATCTTAACGGTGTATAATATCAGAAGGCAAAGGGAAGCGGCAACTACATTTTTATTGATAATCGATGCAGACCAGAAAGTTGTAAGCACATGACCAACTGTAAGCAAGCGAAGCAAAGATGATGCGTATTGGAGATGGCTGGGAAGCCAACTCATTTTAAGCAAGCGTTAACTAACATTTATAGGCAGGCAAAAATGAGTGACAGACATATGATGAATAAGATACGAAGTGTACACATATGCGCTCATATAAAAAGTACTCAAGGTTAATAAGCAAATGATTAACAAGATCAAAAGATGACTCAATGTACAGGTGAATTGGCTTGGCCAGTAACTAGAATAAAAGTATATAATATATATATATATATATATATAATATATAATAAAAGTATATATATATATATATATAAAGTATATGGGCCTAACATATGAACTGGTACTACAGAGCATTATGTCAACGGATTAACAGTAGAAAGATGAAATATTCATCTTTTGAATATTATCTTTTATTTATGTTTTGAGTAGTAGTAACATATCGCATTGCACGAGCATGTGTCTATCAGCAATTAGTAGCTACGTGGATAACTCCACCATACATTTCATTTTCATTTGGTGATACATACTACCTAAATCTGTTGATATCAGTAACACATACCACAAAGAAGTCTTGGTAGTAATGACTTTAGTATTAGCACAAAGTTCGTTGAAGAATATCGATATGTATTGTGGTAGGTTAGTAGCAAATACTTTAACACTAGTTATTCGGAATTAAAAGAATTTTTGAAATTTACATGGGTTAGTAGTCAGTTATATGATAATAAAATAAAGAAAAAGTTTATTCTAACTTTACTGGATTTTCATTTAACTAATCTACAGTGAAACATCTTGTAGGTTAAAACGTGAATAGAAGTGATAATAGTAAGCGGTGGTTGAATAAAATCATCTTACTCAACTGTGGAAAAATATTAGATTTATGATTTCCGAGTTTTTGTTCGCTTGAAAATCACATGTTTATTAATCCTAATGGTATACAAAGTTTCAATGAAAATAGTTATATTTTTCTCATTTGAAACATACAGCTGTTCAAAAATATACATTATCGTAGGCGAAGACTGTGAGTATACGGAAATCATCAAACTACATCACGAGTAGAGCCGTCACATGCACTTCTCAAGCCATAACAAAAAAGTGAAGAGACCAAAGAACACAATGCACTGCGAATCGGGAGCAGAATTAAAAGGAGTGAATGACACGTGACAAGAACATGGAAGGAAAACTCGGAAAAGATTTGGTGAGCCATAATTAAGTGTTAATTGTTTTTTGTACTTTTTGTTATGTCCATATTTTCTTTCCCCATTTAAGTAATCTCCTTTATTTTTGGTTGCTATATGTAACTAATTTTCATTCAATATACTGATATGAGGTAATTGAAACTTATATCGACACCTCCCTACCATACTCTACATAGACGATGAATATTACTAAAATACTATGTGAAAAATAGTAACGACTACACTTGCTCAAATGGAGAGCAACTTAAATGACAATCGAAAACATAATGATCAAACAAATGAGTGATAACTGCTTGACTACCATATAAATGTATTTATTTATCTAGCAATTAATTATTTATTTATTTACTTATTTATTTGAACACAAATATTGGAAAAACGGTGCACCATATAGATGTGTGCGACATATTAAGTGTATATTTGGTATCAGTCCATGGCATTTCCGAAGCACAACATGTAAAACACTATCAATGGTTGTGGACTTGGTGAACAATCAATTGTGTTTATCCAAAATATCAGGTAAAGATGACTCCATCGGTTACAGTGGGTGATATGAAACGATACACAGAAAACGATGTGGATTATATCATCAGGATGATTCACCACAGTCCCATAGACCAATATACACAGGACGCTAAAACTGGTGGAGTTTCGAAGAATCTAGAATATCAATCTAGCGGTCTGTAGATGGAAAAAGTAAGTAAGTGAAAACCAGATGATTCTATGAGAAACCGACCACCGAACAAGTTGAAATTGGATGGTAAATGGTAACAGTATTTATTGAAAAATGTAGCAAGACCTTCTGTGAATCGACAGTCAAAAGAATGTTTTCTCTTCACTTTCTGTTTATAAATGTGGTAATGATTTTTGAAATGAGAATTTCACTGATGTTTGTTTTGCGCGGCTGTGTCAGTATGCTTAGGTGATGGTGAGTCACATAATCATTGACTTATTATATATGAATGCGTTCTTTTTTATTGTATACAAGTCTCATATTACACTTTTATACAGGATAGAGACTAAAGAATATCATACGATTTGTTTAATGAGATAGATTGAGGTGATGGACAACAACAAAGTAAACTCATTCATATTTCTGTAAACAATCTAGGTAAACAGATATATGTTTGTGTAATTAAAGACAATGAATTCTACTTTAAGAATTTTATAGTAAATAGCAGAAATGATAGAAGTTAATGTTTTGTTAAATGGGATCCGATAAACCGAACAGAACTCGCAATATTTGAAATCTAATTCCCAAATGCATATGATTCGTGGATTGGTGGTGTTTGCATGAGCTAATAATCATTCACTTCTATCTAGTGACTGTGTTATTTCGAATTCGACATCTAATATGTTCGGCTGTGCTCACTTCGTTCTGTGTTGCTCTAGATTGTGTTATTTCGAGGATTCGTAGTTAGAATAATAATTCAACAATTTCTAATTGTCACATGACCATTGGAATATTTGGCGAATTGGAGAAAATTGACTGAACTTGATGCATGTTTCCATTGGCAACAAGAGTTCCATGAGATTAGCTCATTATTCGACAAGCAGTATTTCCGTGAATAAAACCAACTTCCCTAGCATTCAATTGGATTGTTATCAAGTCTAGTTACTATGCTACATTGTTCTCAGTAGATATTCGATATGACTTGTATGTTGAACGCTTTATTCAGATCCTAAGCTATTCGGATAACCACAAGGCCAGCACTACTTCACTACTACAACACCAGAGAGAAAACACGAGTATCAGAGAAACACTTTACTGCAAAGTTTATTTTTGTACAGAAAATCATAGGTATTTATAGAAGTTAGCATATGTTAAATCAACATCCTATTTCAGCCAATCCATTTAACGACATATATTGCTACTGACCAATAGTAGCATGCCAAGTTGGACTCTAGAATGTTCTATCGTACACTGATTGACTGAGTATCTTTACGAGCCTCTGGAGGCTCTGTTGGAGTTCTCTGGAAGCCATTTCGACACTTTCCTTAAATAAAATTTCTTTCTAGTTTCAACTTGTAGTTTGACAACTGAGTTGCGACGTCGTCCCAATTATTCTAGTCGTCTAACATGAGCACGGCTTCTTGTCAGTGTTCTTGGGCATTTGTGGCATTAGTGCATCTATGAATAATTCTAACGGAAAATCAGACTTTCTTTTATCATATTGATTTAATCGTATGTTTAAATACAGATGATAATCAAAACAAGCTCAATAGATATGTGAAAATTATTCATTGAAATAGTGAAGTGCAAAACAATATTCTTCTTGTCTATTTACACTTTTATTAATCTTCAGGTTCTATGATCCCTATGGTGATTATACGTATGAATCGAAAAATTCGTTCACTTTCAATGAAATATATTATCTTTCTTTCATTTCAATCATTAACCATATAAATCTATACATTTAAACGTATTCCGTTTCACTTGTACTTGATCAATAAGAAAAATTTCGGTCTCTTTTAGTCTCAATATCTATTAACGGCTAGTGGTAGAATATGGCGAGTCAACTCTAATTCATGTTACATAGTTCGGAAGTTACAATTCCGCATTCAACGATGATGGTCTGGTCTGGCAGAATTAACTTTATTGCAATAAGATTAAATTAAGGAAATTTAAATTTAGATATCCAAACAAAATAGTTTGTGTTACTTAAATTTTAACTAATCAAATAAAAATAACGCACTAATGACACTCAATTCACAGATTATTACATGCAACAAAATGTTTGTCCATCAAAATATGACAACTCATTTTTAACAACAAATAAACCAGTCACATAGTTTAAAGTATGTCTTATCATATTCAGAATGATTTACATCGATAGGGGTCCTCAATTTAAACCAAACGGTGGATAATTGGTAGCCCATATACCTCAATAGGTAGAAGAGTATTGGATAACGACGAGTTCATCTTCCACGATGATTGGTTAACAATGGTCGTGCAATTTCATGAATTTTGATCGTCTCAATGGTCACTTTGAATCATCCAACCAGAAAGAAAGAAACACGCACTTTCAAAATCTATATAAACTCGATACGTTCTAACAACAATTATTAATGTTTTTAAGAAGAAGATGAGGTGAGTATTAACTGTACAGTTAAGGTTAATGAGTGTATTATATGAATGTCAATTTGCTTCAATGAAATAAGGCCGTTTCTTTATCTGAACCACTTTAGATATACGTTTACCTGTGATCATCTGATACTCCTTTATTTGATGGTCAGCTTGACTTTCAAGATCTACAATTGTCAACATGCTTGTGACGAAATGGATTTGGATAGAGCAAGTAAACTAGTATTTGAACGTGAATCACATGAATATGTAAGTTATCAGTCAAATTCTGATACACATGTTCAGTCTGTTTATTATCATTATTCCCGGATGATTCGCCTAAATCAGCCCTCTCCTATTGTTAATGGAACGTTTGAAAAATTGTATACTGATCAAGTGAGTCAACTAAATTTTGCACAGGAGGTACTAATCCATATGTTTGCATAGCTTCAGAGGATTATTCCAAAATTCTCTTTAAAATTTTATGGCACTGACGTCACTAGCCTCAAAATTACAGAAGATGGTAAGAGAATGATTTTATTTGTTATAAAATATTGACTGAGCTTTGTCTATTCACATTTCATTCCATGAATCAAAGTTGCTTTAATTTCATCGGAAAATCAATTTGATGTCTATTTTTAACATTCAAAACTTCTACCGATATCTTATTTTGTTCAATTTGTAAACAGTTTAATGACCCCTTACAGCAAACGTCTTACGATTCATGCAATTCATTTTAGTCTGGATTTAATTTTTATTTCTTTCATTCATTCAATGCAGATTATCAATCAAATTGCATGTTTTCATTCGATAAATACAGGTTTAATAGAAATATACGGAGAAAAGTTCTCAGGAGAAATTGACCATCATGTGTCTGACATTAATTCGTCTGAATGGGAGATTTCGAGTGATGGTGGGTTCTACTATTATTCAGTGATATTTTGTTTTGTTGTTTTAATTCTCATTTTCATTTTGCATTAATGATTCAGCATTCAGGTTGATAATCTCATGAGAACTGACTAGTATATAGTGATTATATTGTTTGTGTGATTTCATGACCTCAAATATGTCCATAAAACTTTTTCATTGCTGCCAAGTTAAAGCGTTGAATAAAACACCGATTCACTTCAAAGTAAACAGGAATTGATGACCTGAAATAAAACGCTGATTGATGTATTCACCAAAGTGGAAATGACTCACTCTGCAGTTTGTTTAAGCTGCCATAAAACAGATAACTTATCCCTACGACACTTCTTGGACGATTCAATGAATCAAACAGCTACATCGATAGACGGTGTTGTGCGAGAAATCGGTTTGGATTATTGAAGCACATGAACTTTCAAACTGTATTTGACGCCTTTCAAATTTTTTGGTGTCACTTATTTAACTCGCAAAAGTTAATTGTCTCTAAGTTACTGTATCTGTATCTCCATTATCATATTCGTAGGACCATGAAGTTTGAACTCATGCCCTTCTTGAAACATCGAATCAACAAACGACCATAAACAGTGTGCTGGCACATCACTATTGATTCGAACCAAAACACCAAGAACATAAAACTGAAGTTCATTCATTTTGTTCAGTTATTGTAAGTAATGACTTTGGAGTAGCGTTTCTGAGTAAAAATTAGTTTGATTGAGGGAACACAGTTTCATGGGAATAACAGAACCTGCAGAAACCATTTTGTAGGTATATGTTTCGTTAGACATCAACGTAGTCTTAGTTAACCAAAAGCTTTTAAAACCAACGATTCAGAAGTAAACTTTCCTTCTTACTTGATTGGATTAAAACATTCATCATATCGCTGAAATAATAATAAAAACCCTTGAAACTTCCATTTAATTGGTTCGGTTCACCTGAAATTGGAAACGAAGATGATAACTCTTGTTCAAACTCACACTACGTTATATAATTTGTTTATTGAAAGAAGCGGTTGTTCTTTTTACAAATATATAAAAAAGAGTCCTTTGTTTTCATCATTTCAGAGAACTTACTGGCTCTCAGATGGTCTTTGCAGTTATCAAGTAATAGTTTACTTAAGCAAACCGTAATGTGATTGATTCATAACATGTGTGATATTAACACTTACACAATCATTTATTGTAATTAGTTAAACTTGCTTCTTTTCAGTTTTGCGTAATTGAATTCTTCTCAAAACCCGACAGAAGTAATAAAACGTGACCATCCTGGAAAATTAGGTAAACGAAATGTAGAATCCACTGATCGTTTGAACACATTGTTTGAAATTAAAAGAACAGTTGGCATACGCTGCAGCAAACTAGATTTGATGAGTAATAAATAAATGAATATGCATAAATTAAGTCATAATGTCATTTTACTTGCAGAGGTACATTTTCATCAAGAGACTGCAGTGGAACGTGATTAGAAGTCTGCATTTCTAAGAAAGCAAACTTGTGTTACTCACCAGATGGTCTTTCTGAAATATTATTCATTAGCATTATGGAGTCAATTGAAGGAATAATTTACATATATTCCATATTTAGTCTTTAACAAACACTAATATTCCGATTTGTTGCCTAAATAATTAAGTTATCAAATTCATTTTGTAAAGAAAATCTCCACAGCTCATGTCATGTGTACTAAGAGTTGATTGTTTGAACGGTAGTGGTAGAGAATATTACTTTAATATGAATACATCTTCAACTGTCAGATCTAATTAGAAGCTCAGTGATGTATTGTTTCAATATGAAAACAAGAGCGTAATACAACCTCAGAAACTAAGCATCTGATATTCATTTTGAAGGATGTATGCTTGTTTCATTTACACGACATTCACTTAATTATATTGATTACGAATTCGACTAAAGAAAACGCTTGAGATAATACTAAAAGCATTTGCCTAGATGCGATCACTCTGTGAGTAAGCACAATCATTGTCACATCTAACAATAACTTGAACATCATGAATCTCTCAAATTCTAAATTTCGATAATCTTTAATTAACAGATGGCACATTCAAAATAACTACTCTGATACATTCGAATGGAAAGATATCCTTCTATTATGATAACGTAAGTTGCAAAACTCAATAGGAATATAGTTTTATTTTAAATACTTCAGATTATTATATCTTGTGAATATCAATATTGTCGAATGCAACAAGATACGATTGAACCAATTTGAATAGGGCACACAGAGTATATGACACTACTATTAATACCTTCGTGGCACACTTTACTTTGGCTTTTGTTAAAATTACTGAATAATAGGAAGTGATGTGATATCTAGGGAAATACTTAAGTTTTCGAACAGGGTACAGACAAACAGTGTATGTTAGAGTACTATACGTGGTCAGTCATATTCTGTCAAGCTTTTCTACGTCTTCTGAAGATCATCTGTTTTAAAAGTTCACTGTAGAATATTCTGAGTGATTTATTATCAATATATTGATCGTTTCTTAGCGTATGGCTATTCGAATAGGAATAGTAATTTACTCACACATTTGGAATACAATAGATGATAGATAAATGGAAAGGCCTAGTCAGATGAAAGGTTTCATGCGTCTTCAACGGTATCGGTTTTGATGAGTTCGGGGCAATAAGGACATATTATGGAAAGAATTCTAATGAGATAGGAACAGTAATGGATGTAAGTAAACACACTGATACAATTACACCAAATTACCACAAATTCACGTGCAGCAATATTGCAGTTATTCACTATCACATGTCTACCAACGGACGTGGATATTCATCTGACAATGAATCTCGTCATTCCATGATAGATTGATCATTCATCTAATTTCACTGAATTTCACAATTGTAGGGAGTCAGAACATGCTTGTAGACTAGATTTAGCATATTTCTAATGAAACTTGGGAGATCAGTATGCCTACTGTAAGTATGGCTAGTTGTCTTTGTATAAGATTGTGCGATTGACGACACATTACTTCAATGATTAGTTGGTTTTGACAGGGGTGGTTGTGTGTGTGCAGACGTTTACTCAGAACTCCATTGCTTATTTTCAGGTACCTTGGAAATATGAAAACTACCATTCACGATCGGAAATTTTTGGTTCCTTTGAGTGTGGAGACGAAGGTAATAAAGGCTATTTTTTTAAGATGATGCTGAATTTTAAGACAAGTATTTACTGTAAATGAATAGGTTGGATGCAATGTTTTGTAATTAAATATGATGAATTGCATTATGTATTTGATCAGGAGGTAAATGATGATCGGTTTAAATATATTACTGAGACATATCACAGTAATGCTCAATGTCAACTACATGTGAAATTGTCTGTGACCAGTGAAACAGAGTTTTCAGAAGGATTTGCATTGACATCCTATTAAACTAAATCAAAAATTGAACAACATCATTTTTCATTTACTGGTTGAACATTGTTTACTTTCGGGACCAGAAGGTGATGTAAAGCATAGTTTGTGAGAAAATTGTTTGACCGTCACCGTACCTGTGATCACAAGTTGATCAGTTTCTTATTTTGTTTACTCCTTAATCGAGCAAACAACTTGTTATACAGAAAATGAAAATTCTATGTGTTTTCTGTATATTTTGTTACCAAAGTTAAAGCAGCCGTTGCTATACATGTCGATGGAAAATGGGTCAAAAGTGGAACGTTAGTGGAGTATGAAGTTTCCGGTGGTATGTTTAACTGTATTTTATGAGAGTTGACTATTTTTAAACTTGAAAGCATTATTTCTGTTCCATAAAATTGAAGATTTCATGTGTGACTTCAGTCAGTTATTCAATGACATCCAATCATCAGTCTTAACTGACGTCACACTAGGCGTTGATTTGCCGTTGACTATTTAAAATAATTAAAGACACATTTTGAACCACTAAAGATTTCCTAATATCCATGAAATTTACTCAAACACAATTTTATGGAACGGTGAATGAGATGATATAAGTTAGTTAGTTGATTATGCACTAACTTGTGAGTGTTCATTGCATTCCATTTGATACATGCAGTATCAAATTTTTCCGAGATATTGAAATCGCAGAAACACGTTCAGATTTCAATCTATCATAGTACATGTTTCAACAGTATCATTTCATAGGATAATGTTCAGATTGACTTCAATGTTCGTTGAATTAAATATAATTTACTATTGATGAGATTTCATGATCCAACTTGTCTGATGTGCTGACTGACAGCAGACAGACAGCCGCAAAGTTTGAAACATTTGATCACAGTAGGTTGACTGAAATCTCTTTGCGAAAAAAGTCAAACGTGAAATGCAAACGAATGTCACTCATCCTTCGTTGTTTGATTGAGTTAACATAATTGAAAATGGATTTTCTGTCTGATGATAGCTGACTGTGATCCATTAATTTTGATTACTCAGTTCATTGCGTAATTCTTATCTTTGAAAATGAAGAAGCGGTATGCAAATCGTATTTCAATCATAGAACTGATTTTATGGAGTGGAACTGAACAACCATCAAACATCAAATGCAGTGGGCTTTTCTGAATCGAGTGACAGTATTGTGTTTTATTGAATGACAACATAATGTTGTGAAATGGGAATGACATTGAAAGTGTACTGAATTTCGCATTGCGCAATGTGATGACAAATTACCAGTCAATGAAATAGTCACTCAAATCCGAAATCACCATTATATGATTAGGTTATAGTTACGTGTTTTGTTATTCACTTATCGTTTGCTTGATAATTCGAAATGCAATCACTGTATTCTTTTCATTGAAGATTGTCCAAAACACAATTCCAGCGAAACATGTCAAAGCTCAGCAACATCGAATACACAGTGTTTTTGGTGTGAGATGGCGGACAGGTGCATCGTCGACAATATTAAGGATATTCATGACTTCAAAGTAAATGGTTGCCAGATTGGAGTAAGTAATTGGTAGACATCACATGTTGTTTTTAATATTACGAGAATCAACATTAGAAATCTATTTACTAAAGAGAGCATATCATTGCTACAAATAAGCAGTGATTTTTATTGTTCCCTCAGTGCATAAATCAAAGCATTGTATAGGCTGAAGATGTTCACTCAGACATCAGTACATTGCTTTGCTTCCATGTGGACAGTCATTAATGAATGAAGGAGATGCTTGACACTGATGCCTGGAAACATGTTAATTTCCCAGCTCGTAGAATGCGTGGTAATTTTATAATGTTCAATATGAAACCGATTATCTACGTGATTCAAAATAGAAATATTGTGGCAGTCTATAATGGTACACAATAGATGTTTCATAGTTCAGTCAACATGTGAACAGACAATTGAGAATGAGAGACGTGTAAGTGAGGTATTGTAATAATGAGTGGTTGGCACAGTTTGTTTTGCTATGAGAAATTATAAAACGGACGAAAGTAAGTTTGAATATTACAATCACTTGTGACAAATGTACAAACTATGATAATAAACAAAAGACGTACCCATTCACAAAGTCAGTTTATCAGGTCTAACATCACAGTAAGTTGTTGAGTACGACTATTATGTTTGATGAACTAGCCACCAATTTGTTTCTCAGATTAGCTCGAATGACAACCTATTGAGTGCATCAACCACTGTCGAAGAATCTACAACAACTCCAAGTATAAGTGAATCTGACCTAATAGATGAATCACAGAGAACTGACAAAGAACCTGAATCAGATTTGGTAAGTAATTGATATTAAGTGATATTGTCACTCTTTCGTTCTTCAGAATAGCTCGAGTGACAACCTATTGAGTACACCAACCCCTGTCGAAGAAGCTACAACAACTCCAAGTATAAGTGAATCTGACTTAATAGATGAATCACAGAGAACTGACCAAGAACCTGAATCAGATTTGGTAAGTAGTTGATATTAAGTGATATTGTCACTCTTTCGTTCTTCAGAATAGCTCGAGTGACAACCTATTGAGTGCACCAACCACTGTCGAAGAATCTACAACAACTTCAAGTATAAGTGAATCTGACCTAATAGATGAATCACAGAGAACTGACCAAGAACCTGAATCAGATTTGGTAAGTAGTTGATATTAAGTGATATTGTCACTCTTTCGTTCTTCAGAATAGCTCGAGTGACAACCTATTGAGTACACCAACCCCTGTCGAAGAAGCTACAACAACTCCAAGTATAAGTGAATCTGACTTAATAGATGAATCACAGAGAACTGACCAAGAACCTGAATCAGATTTGGTAAGTAATTGATATTAAGTGATATTGTCACTCTTTCGTTCTTCAGAATAGCTCGAGTGACAACCTATTGGGTGCACCAACCACTGTCGAAGAATCTACAACAACTTCAAGTATAAGTGAATCTGACTTAATAGATGAATCACAGAGAACTGACAAAGAACCTGAATCAGATTTGGTAAGTAGTTGATATTAAGTGATATTGTCACTCTTTCGTTCTTCAGAATAGCTCGAGTGACAACCTATTGGGTGCACCAACCACTGTCGAAGAATCTACAACAACTTCAAGTATAAGTGAATCTGACTTAATAGATGAATCACAGAGAACTGACAAAGAACCTGAATCAGATTTGGTAAGTAGTTGATATTAAGTGATATTGTCACTCTTTCGTTCTTCAGAATAGCTCGAGTGACAACCTATTGAGTGCACCAACCACTGTCGAAGAAGCTACAACAACTTCAAGTATAAGTGAATCTGACTTAATAGATGAATCACAGAGAACTGACCAAGAACCTGAATCAGATTTGGTAAGTAGTTGATATTAAGTGATATTGTCACTCTTCCGTTCTTCAGAATAGCTCGAGTGACAACCTATTGAGTACACCAACCCCTGTCGAAGAATCTACAACAACTCCAAGTATAAGTGAATCTGACTTAATAGATGAATCACAGAGAACTGACCAAGAACCTGAATCAGATTTGGTAAGTAGTTGATATTAAGTGATATTGTCACTCTTTCGTTCTTCAGAATAGCTCGAGTGACAACCTATTGAGTACACCAACCCCTGTCGAAGAATCTACAACAACTCCAAGTATAAGTGAATCTGACTTAATAGATGAATCACAGAGAACTGACCAAGAACCTGAATCAGATTTGGTAAGTAATTAATATTAAGTGATATTGTTACTCTTTCGTTCTTCAGAATAGCTCGAGTGACAACCTATTGAGTACACCAACCCCTGTCGAAGAATCTACAACAACTTCAAGTATAAGTGAATCTGACTTAATAGATGAATCACAGAGAACTGACCAAGAACCTGAATCAGATTTGGTAAGTAATTGATATTAAGTGACATTGTTACTCTTTCGTTCTTCAGAATAACTCGAGTGACAACCTATTGAGTACACCAACCCCTGTCGAAGAATCTACAACAACTCCAAGTATAAGTCAATCTGACTTAATAGATGAATCACAGAGAACTGACCAAGAACCTGAATCAGATTTGGTAAGTAATTGATATTAAGTGATATTGTTACTCTTTCGTTCTTCAGAATAGCTCGAGTGACAACCTATTGAGTACACCAACCCCTGTCGAAGAATCTACAACAACTTCAAGTATAAGTGAATCTGACTTAATAGATGAATCACAGAGAACTGACCAAGAACCTGAATCAGATTTGGTAAGTAGATGATATTAAAGAATATTGTCACTCCTTCGTTCTTCAGAATAACTCGAGTGACAACCTATTGAGTACACCAACCCCTGTCGAAGAAGCTACAACAACTCCAAGTATAAGTGAATCTGACTTAATAGATGAATCACAGAGAACTGACCAAGAACCTGAATCAGATTTGGTAAGTAATTGATATTAAGTGATATTGTCACTCTTTCGTTCTTCAGAATAGCTCGAGTGACAACCTATTGAGTACACCAACCACTGTCGAAGAATCTACAACAACTTCAAGTATAAGTGAATCTGACTTAATAGATGAATCACAGAGAACTGACCAAGAACCTGAATCAGATTTGGTAAGTAGTTGATATTAAGTGATATTGTCACTCTTTCGTTCTTCAGAATAGCTCGAGTGACAACCTATTGAGTACACCAACCCCTGTCGAAGAATCTACAACAACTTCAAGTATAAGTTAATCTGACTTAAGCTGTGATTTTTATTGTTCTTTCAGTGCGTAAATCGAAGCATTTTATAAGCAGACGATATTCAATCACACGTCAGTACATTGCTTTGATTCCATGTGAACATTCAGCAAGGAATGAAAGCCTTGTTTAATACCAATGCCTGGAATTATGTTAATTTTCCAGCTCATAGTATGTGTAGTAATTCTCGATGTCTGATATGAAACCCATTATCTGTGTGACTTGTTACAAAATATCAATGAAATCAGTTTGACTTAGGAGTTGTAATCTGTCGGAAATTATTTGTCGTGTTTGGATAATAATTGAATGGTCGTAGACTCTCATTGTTTATATTCAGAAGAAGTATTTCTGATTCCTTATTAAGAAACATTTATCCTGTATGGACTGCTTCAATGAAGCCGTCATTCATGAGATATGCCAGATGTAGTTTATAATGGAAATATGGTGGTAGTCTGTGAATGTAGATAATAGATATTTTATAGTTTAGATATCATGACAACAAACCATTTAGAACGAGAGACAAGTATGTGAAGTAGTATATATTTTTGAGCGTTTAACAGAGTGTGTTGTGATTTGATCAATTCAAAAACGGAAGAGAGTGATTTCAAGTTCATGCACTTCAGGAACTTTCACGATCACTTGTGGTTAATGTACAAAATATGAGATTTAACAAAAAACATTAAAACAATATCTAAACCTATTTACAAAGTGAGTTTGTCGTGCGTATCTCTACAGTTATTGAAGATAATGTTTACTTATCAAATTGACTTTCAAATCGGTAACAAATATTCTAAATCACTATTCATTGATCACATTGAGCAAATACAATTTATGTTACTATTTTTTGAATTCACTTCTGTTATCAATACTGACAATGGTGTATAATGGATGAAAAATTATTTGATTGACATTTGATAATTAGTAATATTGCTACTGTTTCGCTCTTTCAGAACATGACAACAGAAATGACTGGAGACAATGAACCTGGGAAATAAAGTCCTTCCTTACACATCGTCATACGTTAACTTATCTCTTTCTTGATTGTGTGCAGTGGCTGTGCCATATGTCTATGGTTGTGCAGTAAAAAAACATGTATGCTATGGCTCTCACAAAAGACTTATCGCTTGTTTTCATCATGCTTAATATTTTGTCTTCATTTTCTAGTTTATTAAAAACACTTTACATTTAGTTAATCATTTCAAAAACTTGGAGACTTTTTCGTTGAACTTATAACAATCGTTATGGTTATTCAAGTTGTAATTAACGTAATGTTTGTTGGTGAGACATAAAACACGGATTCTTATGTCTCTGTGATGATTTTTACTCAATAAAAACGTATATTACTTATACAAGTGTTTACAACACTGCAGAATGTTAGTATGTTGGGCTGATGTTCAATTCACTGATGATGATATCATACTCCGTTAATAAATCCTTATGATGTGGTAGCTTCTGATGACTATACCAAGTTAATAAATCCTAATAAGATTGGAGCTTCTGAGGATCATATTTCATTTTTATCCACGATTTAGAAAAGTACTTTCCACATGTAAGAGCGATTACATACCTATTCTGGTTCGTCTCACAATTTGATTGTTGATACAGCAAGTAAACCGTCAAATATCTTATTCAGAGCATTGTCTTTAGAAAGATAGCTTTCTTTTCTGATTCGCTTCATCGTGCGAACTCTCTACTTCGATACTTTCGATACGTCCTATGGACTATCAATAAAGATTAAAATGCGGATCTGAAACGAATATTCCTGTTGTAGTTAGCCAAGCATGATGGATTGTCTACCTACTCATGATGGAATTTTCTGCATAAATGACAATGCAGGTAGTACAGTATTATTTCACAAATCTGATCGTCAATGTGCGGATTTTGATGTTGAAAGAATGTAAGCTTTGACAGAGATTGCATATTGGTGATCTGAGATACATTATTATATCTCGCACAACGAACAATCGTGAATGGTCATCGGTTGAAAAACCATCTTTCGAAATGGACTCAATGACAAGTATTGTCTGCGGTCTAACAATGAATTCACCCTGAATATAGTTGGTTACTCAGCGATTCTCCTTCAGGGGTGTATGGAATTTTTCCAAAAGTGATGGTTTTTTTCGTGCATTATTATTCTTTTCCATGTTTTGAATCCCAAACACAAAACGTTTATATGCACTCAATGTTTTCTCTTGACTTCGTAATGATATATGCAGTATTATCAGAATGCATCACAAGCTATTTAGGTGTTACAAGTCGGCGTTTTGCAAATGCGTATAGAATATTGGACAGTTCTCATTATTCACTAATGTTCTCTGACTGTCAAATTCTCTCCGAATATTGTTATTCTATGATGAACTTAGAGTTGTCTCGACCAAATGAATATCCTGGTCATGTTCAAGTCATTACAGCCTAGAAATGAATGTACCTACCCATTGTGGAGTAAAGATATAAGAATACGAGGAATGCCACGTTTCAGAAACGTTTTGTAATATTGTGTGTCGGCAACCATAACCTTAACTAATATTCAATCTTCAAGTGGTTACAACATTCCTCCTCACCATATGGATTATTTATGGCCTAATTACAAACAGCGGATAATTATCTTAATTCTGCGTCAAATTGATATGTACACTTTAATTCCGCTTATCCAACTATGGAGTTTTTCAATCCATGTAAGTCCTTGGTTCACCCTTTCCAACTCCTCGTTCACACTAATGCTCAAGACAATGCGACACCTAAAGAAAACTATAGTTTGGTAGAGACTAATTTGCACAAAATCGGTATGGGCGTCATAAGCTGGTGTACACAATATTATTTAATTCTTAAACTTACTAAATATCGTTGCACACTCAATCATGAATAGAGTTTCGCCACCAGGAACCGGAGTCTTGTCAGAGAGACCATTCTTTACACTTTTCACTAACTCATGGTGTTTTTCCTCAGTTTTGAATAAAAATTTGTATATATTCCAGCTTACATTCTCCATTTCGGTGATAGAGAAGATGAACAAGTAGTTCATTGTAAAATATACTGTCCAGAGTACTTCACAGATAATAAATTGGCGACAGTGTTCTCAACAGATTATTTGAATCGATCTGAGTGGAAGTTAACAACACCATCAACATTTCACAATTCAGCTGTATGTGCACTGTCCCAGACGTTTCAGCTACTGTGAACGATCGGATTATTCTTGCGTTTATGCACTGTTCTTTTACACATTTTGTGGGAAAGTCAGTACACGAGATTTGAAATACCACAGTGCAATTAGGAATACTGATGAAGGTTAGTCACGTAATGAATTATTTCAAGCACTATTAGGCACATATTTCTGTTCACAGCGAATTCCCACTGGAACAAAACAATTTAGTAAACTGACGTAGTGTCCTACAGGGATATTATTCTTTTTTTTATGCACACACACAAACAGTTTGAAAGCATTGATCACGGAAATGTTGTTGCATCACTTTCCATTTACGTTTCCCATAGAATCACAGTGCATAAAGCAAGTCAATGCAAGAATTGTGATCCTAAAACTTAGATCCCACTGAAGGACTTGAACCAGTAACAAAGGTAAAATTCCAGGATATAGTCACGGAATTCTCAAACATGACCAAACTGTACCCACAGCCTTTCAAAAGTAAACTGAATGTAGGTCAT